GGCGCAGCAGAAAGGAGGGGTTCTGGAGCTGACAGGCAGGAGCAGCTGTTGCAGGAGAGCACCACCCAGCAGGAGCAGTGGCCTCCAACAAGCCTGGGAAATTAACACCCACCCTCACTCTCCTCTTGGCCTGCCATTTCTTAACCAACAGGAGGGTCAGTCCCTGGGACCCAGAGAAAGGAGAAGGGGAAATCTGGAGGGACAGCAAATAGCCAGCAAATTAGCTTTTCTTTGAAACGGCTCTACTGTGCAGCTAACAAACATAACTAAATGAGTTAATGAACATTAGGTGCAAGTAGTTACTTTACTGCTTAGACGCACTCAGTTTTATATTGATTATAACTTCACTGAATCCTAGTCTCACACAGATTTGCAATTCCCATTGGAACTCACCCTGAATCTTATTTTGAAACCTTATCTGGGACTTGTGCTCACTTCAGACTCACTCACACTGTAGGTTCCTGACTCTGTCTTCAGCAGAGTACTTTACCATATTGCAAAATGTATTTTGTCTACCCCTGCAATTACTTTTTTTTTGAACCAATTTTTATTTTATTACCTTACCTACAAAACATGCATGAATGTTTTGAAATAAGTTTTCTTTGAATAAACCCATTTTTACTCAGCACAATTCAAAGGGGAAACATTAGACCTTTCTGGTGTAGGAAAAAACTTTCTTAAGTCCCTAAGTGATTTTCACAAAATGTAAAATGGCCCCTAGTCTTGGAGAAGTTTTGGCTTCATTTTACCAAGCACCAAGATGTGCCACAATAGGTAAGGGAATGCAAGGCAAGCTAACAAAAAGTTACTAGTTCAACAATATAGTGCAGTCTGAAAACAGCCACCCTCTTTGTTTACTGACCAGATTACAAAAATAACCATGGTGGGTATCTTACTTCATCCTTCTAATAAGCCTGTTGATCTGGTCTTCCCTGTTGCCAGCATCTCCACTTCTACAGAATCAGTGGTCTTTTTCTTCATTCCACCTCATGGAGAAGATAATATGAAGGCCCACAGGAAGATACTTGCTTCTTTGAAGCATTTTTCAACAGTGTAGATTTCATGAATCAGATCCTCCATGCAGATGATGCCAAATTTACCAAGAGATTGAGCAATCAAATCTGTCAAAGCAATTCGCTTCTTATTGATTTTGCCATAACCATGCTTGTAGGTAAGTTCACTTACTGACTTCAGGTTCGAGTACCCCCATGCAATGTGTGGTTCCACAATTCTCAGCATGTTGAGGCCTTGTTGAGTTTAACAAACGTGCCATTGAAGATCTGATGAAGACAAAGAAGCTGCAACACCTTTTGAACCTTTGGGCTCACTCCATTGATCCCTCTGATCCTGATGACAAATGCCAACTAGGGTTCTGCAGGTGCATAGAAGTTGCCAGCTTTTCTTGCCATCCTGGTCATGTGAATCTCAGTTCTGTACATGTGTCTATATTCCTTATGATAGTGCTTGGCTTTTTCATGGATAAACTTCCTCCTTGCCTTTTGAAGCATTTTTTGAGCAAACTTCTTTCTCAGATGCTTGATTTTCAGCTCTGCAAAATTCCTTCGCTTCTTCTTAAGGGTTTCTGGCACAGCATGAACCTTCCTCTTGGTTTCTGCCACAGTAGGGACTTTCTTTTTCTTCTCTTGAATGCCCTCCGTGGTTCCAGCTGAAAAAGAGGACAATTACCCTCTTACCATAGCTTATTTACTAGAAATGCACTCTCTTTTCCAATAAAAACAAATAAGCAAAAACAAAACAAAGTGTCAAGCCAGCTCTGTGGCCTAGTGGTTAAGGGAGCTAGATCCCACATAGCTGACTCCCTTTCGAATCCCAGCTCCGGGAGACTGGAAAAACACACCAGTTGAGTTTGTGTGTGTGCCCCAAACCCCGACAGGATGGAGAAATAGAGGAGAAGGAATTGCAGTGTCACAATGCCTTACTGGGGATGCTTTCTCCTCCCTGCCCACCCCCCTCCACCCATCTTTCTCTGGCAAGCACATGTGCCCTATGACAAAAACCTAAAAAAGAAAAAAATAAGTTACCAGACAAATGAAACATAAGAATGAAAATAAAATCAATCAATTGAAACAAACCTAGAAGTTTCATGCATAATAAAATCAGTAGATTTGGACTTTAAGACAATAACTATAAATATATTGGCACCAGCAGGTGGTATAGTGGTTAAGGGCACTAGACTCCCATACGGCTGATCGAGGTTCAAATCCTGGACATGGCAGCTTTCTTTCTCACTTTCTATCTCTTTCACTCTATCCCTATCTTGTCAAATTAAAATAAAATAAAGTAAATAAAGTTAAATAAAATAATTCTTT